TTTTTTTTTTTTTTTTTTTTTGTACCAGGGATTGAACTCCGGACCTTGTGCTTTTGAGGCAGGCAGCAGAACCACTCAGCTGAATCCCTGGCCCCATAGTTGGCTTTTTAAAATTTCTAGTTTCCAACAACTAAGTTTAATTTAAAGACCCATTTGACAAATCACCGGTCCAACTTTTGCTTCTGTATCTGTTGCTTTTCCCTGTGGCAACATCTCAGAAATTCTTAGCACAGCACATTGCCAGTACACGGCTGAGTCCAGGCTGGCGGCTCGGGAGACTTCTCTTTCTGCCGAGGGTCTTTTGTGTAAACAGATTTGTGATTCTTAAGCTGTCTTATGGCTGAGGGTTTCCATAGCTCACAGAAGGTACTGAAGGGAAAGCATCTCTGCCCAGCGGTCGCAGATGGATTGGGCTTTTCCTTCTCCTCGGAAAGATGGAGCAGGAGTGAAGGAGACCTGGCAGGCTCGGGCCAGGTGCTGGTGTGGGGCCGGGCTGCAGGCATCGTCCCCAGAGCAGGGCTGCACCCCGAGTCTGCTCCTGGCCGAGGTGAGAGCGGCACTGAGAGGTGTATGCCCTCCCGGGCGGTGGCTCCCGGCTGGTGGCCCGCAGGCTCTCCCTGAAGACCTGTGACAGAACCCTGGACTGCTGGGGCCCGGCGAGGCCCCTCTGCAGGGTGAGACCATGTTCCTGGTCATTGTGGGTCTGTTCTAATAGCAGAGCAAATGTCATAGCAGTTTTGTGTTGCAATTCTGGTGGCGAAACCCAAGGCCTCATTCAGGCTACACCAGCCACAGCAGCACAGCCCCATAATGGTATTTTACAGAGAAGGTGGCATTATGAAAGCAGACCTGAGAGACCCGCACGAAGGTCCTGAAGGGTCACCTACAGCGGAACGCTGCTGCCTCTCTGAGATGGCTCTGTCTTTTCAAGATCACATCTGGACTCTCTGATGCCAAATTAAATTCCCATTGATCCTGTAATCCCTGAAAGTCAAAGCATATTTGTTGAGTGCTTCGAACGCCTTGCCACAGCCCTGCGGAAGGCCACAGTGTTCTTCACACTCCAGGGGCCGCACGCAGATGCCGGCAGATGCGCCTGGAAGGGCATGGGCACCGGAGCACACGCTGACTCTGCACCAGGTGCCCTCAGCTCGTTTTAGATCAAGGAGAGATTCAGAGAAGTCTCAACTGAAGCGCCTTAAATTTAGAGCCATGCTAGCTCTTGTGCTTTTGTTGAAAATGTGACTTGGTGAGGTAATAGAATTCAGGAGATTGCAATGCAATCAGTGTAAGGATCAGTGTAAGGAAGAAAATGCTTTCTTTTCTTTAATACTTCTAACATTTATTAAACACATTGGTTCAATTAGCAAATGATTTTTCTTTCTCAATTTTTGCCTATTTTTGAAGATCTAACAAGACCTCTCCCTTACATTGTTACCATTCCATTTACGTATATACTCATTTAGAATTATAGGCTCAGGGTTTTAATAATTCTTATTTATTTCCTGAATTTCTTAGATCCAAACATCAAATGGATAAGGACCCTAAATACTAAGTCTTTATTTTCATATGTCAAGTATCATATATCACTTCCATACCTACCTGCCAGGTGCTAGCAGCCTTTTGATGGTATAAAAGTGCCTGCTGCAGTCTTTAGTTCTGAAAGTTACTCACTTTCATACTTGATGGTCTGTCTAAACCATGAGACATATTTCGCTGCTGTTTCGGTGAGGTTGTTCAGAAAGCTCGTGTCGCTGGCCCTATGAGCCAGCAGCTGGTGCCCCTGCCCCATTGCGGCTTGCAGCTGTGTGCTGATGGTTTTGCCTCTGTCTTTCAGATAAGCCCCTGCGATGGAGGGGCTACTGCACTACATCAACCCAGCGCACGCCATCTCTCTGCTCAGCGCCCTCAACGAGGAGCGCCTCAAGGGACAGCTGTGTGACGTGCTCCTGATTGTTGGGGACCAGAAGTTTCGAGCCCATAAGAATGTGTTGGCTGCCAGCAGCGAATACTTTCAAAGTTTATTTACAAATAAGGAGAACGAGTCACAAACCGTCTTTCAGCTTGACTTCTGTGAGCCAGACACTTTCGACAATGTCCTGAACTACATCTACTCCTCGTCCCTGTTCGTGGAGAAGGGCAGCCTCGCCGCCGTGCAGGAACTGGGCTACAGCCTGGGCATCTCCTTCCTGACCAACATCGTCTCCAAAGCTCCGCAGGCACCCTTCCCAGTGTGTCCCAGCAGGAAGCGAGCACCTGTGGACGAGGACGAGGCCGGCTCTCAGAAGCGGAGTGTCATCGTGTGCCAGAGCAGGAGCGATGTGCCCGGGAAAGCTGCTGGTCAGAGCCCGGCTGAACTCAGCCCTGCCTCCCGGCTGTCCCCCAGTGTCACAAGCAGGAACGGTACCAGCAAGCCACACGTCCTGAAGCCGGCAGAACTTCTCCCCAGTCAGTCCTTACCCGAGAAGAGCTGGCTGAAAGATGGTACCGCGGGGTTTGCAAAGACCCTGGAGTATCCTGGGCCATTGGACGACCCGAGTAGAGGCAGTTTGGTGAAGAGAAATGCAGTGCTGCCCTCCAAGCCTCTGCATGACAGAGAGGCCATGGACGACAGGCCAGGGGTGAGTGGTCAGCTTCCAAAAGGCAAAGCCATAGAACTGGCTCTGAAAAGACAGCGGCCGCCAGTCCTGTCCCTTCGGAGCTCCTCGGAGACACCCTATCTGTTAAAGGAAACTGGTAAGGGAGGCGGTCAAGGCGAGGAGAGGAACTTGCTATACTACTCCAAGCTGGGCTTGGTGATCCCGTCCAGTGAGTCTGGGTCTGGAAACCGAAGCATCGACAGAAGCGGCCCTCTTGTGAAGAGCCTCCTCCGGCGATCGCTGTCCATGGACAGCCAGGTCCCTGTGTACTCCCCCTCCATAGACCTGAAGTCCCCCCAGGGCTCGGCTGTGGCACCCAAGGACGCACCAGGTGGTATCTTCTGTGCTTTATCTCAAAAGGCTTCTTTAAAAGATGGTAGTGACAGAAAAGCAGCCCTGGACGACCGGCCACAAGTGCTCCAGCCGCACCGCCTCCGGTCCTTCAGCGCATCGCAGCCCACAGAGCGGGAGGGCCCCACCCCGGTGACCGAGGTGCGCATCAAGACCGAGCCCAGCAGCCCCCTGTCCGACCCCTCGGACATCATCCGAGTCACTGTGGGTGATGCGGCGGCGGCCACAGCCACAAGAGACCTACCTCTGAAAACCGAGGAGGACCCCAAGGACATGAGCCGGCTCCCCGCCAAGAGGAGGTTCCAGGCAGACAGGAGGTCGCCCTTCAAGAAGGCGAGGATCAGCGAGCACGGGCCCGCGGCCGCAGAGGAGGACTGCCAGGATGGCCCGAGCCCTCCACCCCTGGACGGCGAGTTCCCAGACTCTGACTTGAACAAAGACGAATTCGGTGAGTTGGAGGGGACGAGGCCAAACAAAAAGTTTAAATGCAAACATTGCCTTAAGATCTTTAGATCAACAGCAGGCCTTCACCGCCACGCTAACATGTACCATAACCCAGAGAAGCCCTACGCTTGTGACATCTGTCACAAGAGGTTTCACACCAACTTCAAAGTGTGGACACACTGTCAGACCCAGCACGGCATAGTGAAGAACCCGTCCCCAGCCGCGAGCTCCCACGCGGTTTTGGATGAGAAATTCCAGAGAAAGCTGATTGACATAGTGAGAGAGAGGGAGATTAAGAAGGCCCTGATCATTAAGCTGAGGCGCGGCAAGCCTGGCTTTCAGGGCCCGAGTGGCTCCCCGGCGCAGCAAGTCATCAAGAGGAACTTGCGCTCACGGGCCAAAGGCGCGTACATTTGCGCTTACTGTGGAAAGGCCTACCGCTTTCTCTCTCAGTTTAAGCAGCACATAAAAATGCACCCGGGTGAAAGAGCCCTCGGAGTAAATAAAGTTGCTAAGCCAAAAGAGCATGCTCCTCTGGCCAGCGCGGTAGAGAGCAAAGAGCTTTACCCGTGCCGCCTCTGTAATGCTAAGCTCTCTTCTCTTCTAGAGCAAGGCAGCCACGAGCGCTTGTGCCGGAACGCCACCGCTTGCCCTTACTGCAGCCTCAGGTTCTTCTCGCCCGCCCTGAAGCAGGAGCACGAGGACAGGTGTGAGTACAAGAAGCTGACCTGCCTGGAGTGCATGCGCACCTTCAAGTCCTCCTTCAGCATCTGGCGGCACCAGGTGGAGGTGCAC